ACGTTATGCATCTCTCTCTCTCTTTCTCTCTATATATATATATACGTTACCGCAATTTATATCGCTTTTTTTACGTTATGCATCTCTCTCTCTCTCTCTCTCTCTATATATATATATATACGTGTTACCGCAATTTATATCGTTTTTTTTACGTTATGCATCTCTATATATATATACGTTACCGCAATTTATATAGTTTTTTTTATGTAAATATGCGTACGGGTTTTCAATCGTATGCATATATGTATCTATCTATGTATTTATACAAAATAAATTTGTATTTCAGGGGCCATACGAATCTCTACCTACTTTGAGGGCTCAGACCTCAGTAATTAAAGAAGAAAGCACTCGAGGACAACAACATGCGTCTGAACATGTTTAGAAACACATGTTTCGTCCCTTGGTTGGATTTATCCAACCCCTATTCAGACACATGTCTTGTCAATTGGATGGTGCAATGTGAGGATCTCTCCGTCTCTTCGCTGAAGGAAGAAATCTATTATAATGTCGGAGGGTTTAGCCTACGGTTCGGCAGACTTGAGTTCTGTCTGATCACGGGGTTAAGATTTGGGTCGGATCTTCGCCCCTCACATAGCACCTGATCCATACGAAGATTGTTTCCAAACAATCTTCGTAATATTAAAGTCGGACATTCTAAAAATAAAATGTCCGACTTAATTAATGTATCAGACGATGACGCAGTGCGTGTCTGCCTGGTCATCATGCTCCACTTATTTCTTCTGGGACGAAAGCCAACCCACAACATTGAAGATCGAATTTTGCATCTGGTTGACGATCTGGAGTCTTGGAACCGATAYCCGTGGGGCTCATACATATGGCGTCTGACATACCCTCAAATAAAGAATGCTTTCGAGCGGCGCAGAYACAACAATTGGCCGCCCTCGAAGTACACACTATACGGTTTCATATATGCCTTCAAGGTCGGTGAATTTTTTACAACAATGTTAAACTACTTATTTAGTGATTATTTGACATTCTCTAACAAACAATTTTTTCTTAACATACCAGATATGGATCTTGGAGGCATTGCCCGGAACTCGACCCTATTTTCGTTATCTTCCTTCCCTCTCGAGGGCTATTGGATGACAACGAATTAAGATGATGAATTGGGAAGAGTGCTGTGCACTATCCACCATTGCCAAAGTTTGGTTTCATTGATTATAATTTTTATATTTGACAGCTTTTTCTTGGTTAACTATGTTCCAAATTATATACTAATTTATATTTTTATAGAAATCCTCTCGGCCGCTGACCGAGTTGGTGCCGACATATTTGGAGGAGTCGGCCCATTGATGGATAGACAACATTAAATATATAGAAAGGAATAATTATGGACAGCCGGATAATAACGAGGCTGACGCGGACTTCCAATCATCGGGACCACGTCAGTCTTTTGCCGCGCACACGTCTGAAAGACCTACGTACGAGCAGCAAACTCGCCATTCATCAGCTGCAAATATGGACACACAATGGCGTGATGAATGGCTCAAACATCAGGCTCAGGTCGATGGGAGGCT